CGAGTGGTGGGAAGTCTTTGATGTCGATCGTGAAGAGCTGGGCTTTTTGGTCGTGGGCATGAAGAGTACGGAAGGCTTCATGCGGGCGGAGCTCAGTCGGTGGAAGAACAGAGCTATTCCAATGGTAGTAGATGAAGTGGATGCCGAAATTGAGCGACGGCGAATGATGGAAGAGGGTGAATGAATGGGCTTTGACTTTCACTAAGAACATCAGATTCTAGGATCCAAAGTCTCCTGGGAAGGATGTTCTGGTAGAAGCTAGCAAGCTTTATACCAACTCATTTACTGCAGGGTGGTAGGGATGCTACCTATCAACCAAAAGCCTCACACACAGAAGCTTGCGAGATCCTGGTCCACACCCAGAAGGAATTCTAGCAACACCCAACACTGCACGGCCTCGTCTCTACGGATGTGGCTAAACATGTGGCCAGAAAATTAGCTGTTTCCACAGCATTTGGCAATCGCCAGGGAGCTCCGCGGCCTATCTAACTAAACCCACATGCTATAACTAGAATATGAGGACCTATGGGATTAACACTAAAAATGACCGCTTTTGAGGCCAGAAACGGCTGCCTTTCTACTTGAAAATACAGAGTAAAAACATATAAATAATATAAGTCATAAGGTTACCTAAGGAATTATGCTTACTAAAAAGGCCCATAGACGCCTATAACGTCTAGGCCGTGGGCCCTAAGGGTAGGGCCCGTCTATAGGCATACCTATGGTAGGCATTGCCCGTTTACATAAGGCCTATAGGCAATGCCTAGTAGTTAGCCCGTCTATGGGCGATGCCGCTGTCTATCTCTATATTCCTAGGGGATTTTATAAGTCTAAAACTGATGCTCTTCCTACCATATAAAAATACAGAGATCTCTCAATTTATATATGATTAAAAGCTTCATTTTTAATATATGTCAACCACTCAAAAAAATGGAGATAGGTTCGTTTGTATGGGATCAAAAGCTTCATTTTTGGACTTATAAATGCGAGCAGAATCACTGTACTTTGATTATTAAGCCAGGTGTAATAGTAATTCAGGTATCTTAAGTTTTCTTCCGTTCTTAAGTCAGGCATTCAGACACCAAACCACCCCCAAAAGGGGGTTTGATCCCTGAGTCCTGTAAGTCTTCGTACTGGTACATGATCTGTATGGTGTCATCCCCAATAGCAACGAGCTTTTTGCCACCCTCCAAGAGATACAAAAACTCCAAGAATGCACCGGTGTCGCCCGAGGCCGTCCGCATGAGCTAAGAGATATTGAGTGGTTGATTATCGGTAAGCAGTCTTACCCTCTCGATGTAAAAAGATGCTTGCTATACCATCTTCTAAATGTCCAAACATTAACCAACTACTAGAGTGGAGAAGCAGCAGAGACAGGGAAGAGTTTCGTACGTCGGAACTTTGCTTCAGATTAAATGAAGCTCTTGGGACTCGCTCATGGAGCCAAGAAGTTGCATGCCTACTCCCTGATAGGGGGCATATCATAGCCGCCCACCCGATCTCTCCTCCACAAATGCTTTATGAGGTCCTGAGAATCTACTTCCCTGTAGACTTGGATCAGGGGACTATCTCCACTATTGAAAGGTTTAGAGGGCTACCTTGCTGGCATATTAATGGTGAAAACCCAGCTGAATATCCCTCGGCGGCGCTCAAGGACCAAATTCCTATAATATGGAAAGAGGGCACTTGTGAGTACCAGGGACAAGCTGCAAGGCGGTTTGTTTACTTCATCAAGTTCGTCAACGAGGAAGGAGAACGAGTCTATAAAGAAAATATGAGGTATAATCCACGCGGGAGGCCACCTTGGGACATTATGTTATACTTCTTTGGCCAGCTAGAGGATCTTGGGATGATCGCGTATGAATCGCTGCATGTTGAATTTGTGGAGGTTGTTCACTATGTATCGGAGAACTACGTACCAGAGCCTCCTTCACCAACTCCTAAAACGATAGAATGTCCGCCATATAATATGGTAGAACTCGAAGCTGATTCTGATGATTTATAATAGAAAGGTAATGGCAGAGCAGGTTATACAGGGTAACAGCAATTTTCTTTTAAACGTATCACAGAATGATAGATAGACTCTTAAAATAGACTCGTTTTCACTTGATTTAAGATTGTTCGGGCATATTGAATACGCCTAGGAAATATCTTATAGGATATAAGGTAGCGTATACTAAATCCCTAGGAGAGAGGTATGAGGTATTAGGTCTCAGGTTAGGTTAGGTTATAGAAGTCGGACCTAAAACCTATATGGGTTGGGTTTTGGGTCTACAGTTTGGACCTAACTTCGGTTTTAACCTTAGAACTTCTAAGCTGAAACCTTGGAACCCATGAATAGAATAACGTTCTTACATAATCAGATAGGTACCATCACGTGTAACCATATCAGTTCAAAATGACGCTCACGCGGGGCGGATCATGTGCTCCACCGCTTATCATTTACCCTCCCCCCGCCGCTTCTTTTGTATCTCTTTCGTCACTCTTACCTGTGAAACACAATGAATATCCTACACTCTACACTGTCAACTTGGCGTGACCGCCTGGCCCCGGTATCACGCACTTCCACATTTCGCAACACCGGCCAAATCACTCCAGAGGAGTTTGTCCTCGCTGGAGATTATCTAGTCTACAAGTTCCCCACATGGTCATGGGCCGACGCATCAAGTCCGGCAAAACGGGTATCCTATCTTCCAGATGGCAAGCAGTTCCTGGTAACTCGTGGAGTACCATGTCATCGGAGACTAAATGACAACTTTGCCGGGGATGCAGGGCTTGAAGATGAGATTGTGAGGGATTTCCTCTCGGGCGGTGATGGCGGTGAAGGCACAGCAACCGATGGTGGTGAGGATGGATGGTTGCGGACAGGTGGTGGCCGTGACGCTGGAGCAGACTATAATAAGCAAGAAGCTCGGATTCGTGACGTGCGAACCGTCGATGAATCGGGGAATCTGGGTGAACAGGAGGAGGATGACGATATCCCTGATATGGAGGATGAAGACGATGATGAGGAAGCCATCATCCGAGAGACAGATGATCAGTCGGGGACACAGTGAGTGCCATTTTTCTGCCTCCAACTTCACCTTTATCTTTTTTCTAACCCGTGACTCGTTATCCCTCCAGATCTCTCCGCACTTATACGCTCTACATTACCTACTCAAACTTCTACCGCACACCCCGCCTCTACCTGTCCGGCTATTTGTCGCCATCCGAACCGCTTCCGCCACATCTGATGATGGAGGATATCGTCGGTGACTACAAAGACAAGACCGTGACGCTAGAGGACTTCCCATGGTTCGAAGGCAGTGTCAAGATGGCCAGTGTACACCCATGTCGCCACGCCTCTGTGATGAAGACACTTTTGGATCGTGCCGATGCCGCACTCAAACTCCGCCGTGACAAACTCAAGCAGACGCAGTCACGCGAGGAAGCGAACCGCGCTCTCCGGGTGGGCGGCGGATTGGAGGGCTTGGTGGATGAGACGAAGAATCTGTCACTCGGGGACTCCAACCACGCACAGCCGAGCGGAGACGAGTGGGAGATGCTGCAACACGATGAGGAAGAACAAGTCGCCATCCGGGTAGACCAGTACCTAGTTGTGTTCCTCAAGTTCATTGCCAGTGTGACACCTGGCATTGAGCACGACTTTACGATGGGGGTATAATTTCTTTAGATTGGATTCAATTCCGTCTGATCCGGTCCCTATATCCCAGGTAGCTATATTCCTCGGCTAATTTGGGCCGACTGGATAATGGCTGGGATCTAGCGACCTACTCCCTTATTCTTGATTTTCGAAATGTGATATGCATGACATGACATGAGTTTGGCGTTAGTCTGCTTCTGGGCGCTCGGATAATCCCCCTTCCCCCTTCCCTGGGTTGCTTTTGCTGTTCATTATCTTCGGTGGCTCTGGGAAGTTTCCCATGTCAAATTTACTACAATGTTTAAAGATTCTAGAATACACATATCGCATGGCGAGATCGTAACATAGCCCGAAGTAAGACCGCCGGGGAGCAGTGGAGCAAGCCAATCCATGCACCAAATCCTACCTAGCCAATAATAAGCATGCTATATAAGATCGCCATGGCAGTAGAATAGTCTCTGGAATCTAGGCATTCTCACTATGCCGTATAATAATGTGGTAAAAAATATCGCTTTGGCCTCCTTGAAGAGGAGCCCACCTAATCGACGCCATGTAGGAAACAACAAGTATACGGTAATGACCCCTGGAATTAGAAACCTACAGCCAATGACGACGGCCGGGTAATATGATATAAGGGACATTGGAGCGAGTTATGGGGTATGTATCTTACATATTGAGGGTTGGCAGCCTTGGATGTCATATGCTGCTGATTACACTTATACCGAAATGCTACGAAGTCCCGAGCTACCCATGCCTATATCCAATGTGATGTATCTTACATCTTAGGGTCGCATGGTATTTCTAACCAGAATTTTCAATTGGCACGTTTGTAGAGGATAGATGGGACCTCGGGATATTAGATGGGTTAGGTGATGTCTCGAGTATATATTTATATTCATATAAAGATGAAACCGGAATGAGCATATCGACTAGTAGATGAGAACCGGTAGTATATCAATGCAATATATTCGAATTGAGAGTAACAATATCAAAAGGCACAAGTAACAGTAAACCACATAAGAACTCCGAATAGTGCAAAGCACGCGCGGACATCCAAAGTGAAGATAATGGACAACCATCCGCAGAATAATCAAACAAGAGTCAAAGGAGTAAGTAAGCAAGATCGACCCTCACGAATGAGCACAGAAGGTACAGGTAATCTGAGGGTGAGTACACCGGCCGAGGAGAAACAAATTATGAATGAAAAAAGTAGACAAGGAAGAAAATAATGAGATACACAGGTCCGATCAATCATTAGATAGACCAACCACGTCGCTTAGGGGTGGATGGACTATCCGGGGTCATTTTCGCCATTTTTTTATCGTGTCCGGTAAATATAGTAGTTGAAACCGGGGCTTTATTGGAAGAAGGCCAGGACAATGGGAAGAGCCACTGCGAGGACGGATCCGGGAACCAGGGACGAGCCGGCGTTGAAGACGGGCACAACGGGAACAGAAGGCACAGCAGAAGGCGAGGCAGATGCGGTGGCCACGGCGGGGTGGATCAGAGGAACAGAGGACTGTGCGGGTGCCCAGGCAGCAGGAACGGTGGTGAGCGGGCCAGATATAGGAGTGGTGAAGGTAGGAGGGAGGATAGTGGGGATACCAGTCCACGTAGGAGGGTGGGCAGTCTCAACAGGAGGAGTGACAATTTCGGTGGTAGTGGGGACAACAACTACCGGGGGAGGGTTGGCAGTGGTGGTGGGAACGACAACGACGGCAGGAGGATTGGCAGTGGTGGTGGGAACGACAACCACGGCAGGAGGGTTGGCAGTGGTAGTAGGCACGACGACAACAGCAGGAGGCTCAGGGCAAGGGTAGCCGTCCTGGTGTTGATGCACGCCATTGCCAACGTTGACTCGAGGACCGCCGGGGATACCGACATCGACACCTGCACCGGCGCTCTTGTCATCGCCTGAGCCAGGACCACAGGGGCCCCGGTGGGTGTCGAGGAATCCGGCACCGACGTTCACGTAGGGACCGCCAGGGATGCCGACCTTGACGCCGCTGCCAGCGGAGGTCTCGCTGTTGCCGGGGCCCTGGCTGGTGGTCTCGGGGCCGTGGTTGATGATCTCCGGGAATGGGAGAGCGGGCAGCTGGGGAGCAGCGAGCACGGTGGCAGGGCCGAGAGCAAGGGCGAGGCACATGAGGCCGGAGAAGTTGATAGTAGTAGAGACCATTGTTGCGGTAGAGTTGTTTGTTGTTGGTTTGGAAGAGATGAAGATAGAGCAAGTTGTTGATTAAATGAACCCGAAGATTGAGATGATAAAGTGATTGAATGAGAGTTGGAAAGAGAGCGAAGAGCGAATGACTGTGGAGAGACTGATTGTGGATGAAGAACAGAGGAGGAGGCGTGAACAATGATCCTTATGTACTTTTTGGCACCCATGCAAAGTATACACTTGAATAGTATCATGGGGAGAGTCAAGGGCTCTCTCCAAGACCAGAGAGGACCAGATAGTGAGATTTCTGCAAGGCACGAACTAGTCCTTGGTGCTACTCATCTAAAAAAAAGCCACAAGGGCAGCGATCTGCAAGGCACAAAGTCAACGGCCGCTGCCGAGGAAAGGAACCATGAGAGACATCTGGTCTCAAGGGGTCTGGACCTCACTAATTGGTGGAAATTAGGGCATGCAAGCAACATGGTTCGATAGTCAAGCTGCAGCTTTGTCGAGAAACCAGATGTGCCCTGAGTGAGCAGCGTAAAGCTTATGCACGAGCCTTCGCCGAGCACCCGAGCTGTCGTAGCTCAGCTAGGGCAGGATTGGCGGGATTTTCACTGTATGGGATGCACACGGAGTGCTTTGGGGCATAGAAAAACACGTGAGGCCGAATGGGGAAAAAAGGTTGTATGGATGCAAGGGATAGTAACCAATAAGGCACAGAGACACTAAGATCCCTCTCCGGAGGAGACTTACGAAGTATCCAATGAGGACATTAGGTTAAGATTGAGTGCATATACATCACACGCAAGGAACTCCAACATAGGCAAGTCCAATGCAATTTGCTCGGGCTGTTGTCTGTTAAGCCAAGTAACCCCAGAAACGAAGACTGCCTAACAGAAATATGGAACAATTGGAACAAATGAAGTTGTATTGCACATATCAGCATATATCATAATCTCGTAAGGTATTTCGCCAGAAGGCAGAAAAAAAGACAGAAAAAAAGGTACAGCATCAAAAGCATATGCTGCTCCATCAAAAGAATAGAAACATGAAGAAAGTCAAAATAAACATAGTAGGACCTATCACACACAGCTCACAAAGATCCAAGCATATAAGATGGGAAATATATGTTTCCTTAGACCTGACCTGACTTCGATATTCCAAATGCAGTGCCAAAATTAGTTGATTTCTTGAACTTGATTTCAGGTTCTTCTTCGCCTTGGCGAGGGAACTCAGACTCAGAATCAGTCTCATTGGGATCAGCCGATTCAACCGAGTTGCCCAGGATATTCTTCGCTTGAACAAGGAGTTTCTGATCTAATTCGCTCAAAAAATTGGAGTCATGCTCCTTATCATTAATCAGACCGAGGGGCCCCGTGAGAGCGGGGTCGTCTGGCAAATCTGGGAAGTAGGAGATCTCGTTTTCGGCGGGCTGATGAACGTTCGCCACGGCCGCAAGAGGGGCCTCCTCAACCTCGAGGGGAGTACCCTCCTGGGTGGACCGTCTACTATCATCAGCGTCGATGATTGCCATTGGGGTGTGACCTGCATGGCGGAGCAAGTTCTCATTGGGCGGGCCAAGCTCTGACAGCTTCAATTTGAGACTGTGTCGATGTTCCATGAGAGGCCTTGCTGCGGTTGAAGGGGCCGTTCCAGGAGGGGTTAGTAGGGGCGACGGGGAGGGCGGGGTGATCACTCGCGCCACTACCGCGGGTGGAAGCGCCGTGGATTTGAGCGTGATGCCATCCAGGGTGCTGTCAAGCTTTTCGATCGGCACTGGCTGGCTCACAGGCGCTCCAGAAGGGTCTACTGGTCGCGACTGGGGTGAAAGGGCGCGATCAAGGGATGGCGGATTCCCACTTTCGGAAATTAGCGATAGATAGTTTTGATCTGGAGATTCATGATCGAAGAACACCCTTGTTGGCCGATTGCCTGGACTTGTCCCCTCCCACACCTGAGCTGCGAAGCTATTTGTGCTATACTGCGATATTCCACCTGAAAGCACAAGCTTGGCTGCTTCTGATCCCAACTGTTTTGTTTTGTTCCCTTGACTTTTCACAAACACCTCCAGCTCGGCAATCTTCGATCGCAACAGCGCCCGCTCTTTCTCCCATAACCGTCGCTCCTGTGCAAACAATTCCCTCTCGGTCTCAAAGTTCAGCCGTTGGCTTTGGAGAAGCGCTCGCGATTGGTCGATATAGGACGTATCCATGGTGGACGAATTCACCAACGCCGAGTCTTGGAATACAGTTCGGCCGTAGCCTGAAAATACAGGAGGGAATGTGGCTGAAACGGATTTTGTGCGACGGGCTGGTATTTCGGTCGGAGAGAAGCGTACTTCTTTGTAGAGACTTCCGTGGCCGTCTAGTAGTTTGGTAGACTTCATGGTGCTTGAGATTTTGTTTTCTCACGATAATGAGCGCAAGTCGGCAAGATAAGGGTATAATTAGGGATAGACCTGTGGACACGATAGTAACACGATAGTCACGATAGTGCCCAACCTGCAAAGGTTTGGTTTTCCACGTCGAGACACGTCGAGACCAGTGGAGTTCCTAGAAGCGGTCAATGGGCTCACAGCACTTGGCCATCTAACACCGGAATTTTATGCGAGGTTCCCGATACAACACATGTCAAGCCTCGGGTCACGCGTTCGCAGATGAGTGGATGCTGGTTGGGCAGGTTTAGGATTTGGGTAGCTTTCCAGGTACGAAGTTCCCATAAGTAAAGGAGAGTAGAGAAGAGGTTAAATATACTAAATAGACATCCCCACAAATTCCGGGGAAATGGGGGAGGTTACATGAGACAAGGAGAAATGAGATCAGCGAAGAAAAAGAAAGGTGAACGGATCTGATCACAGCTTATGACGTCAAAAGCTCTCTAATAGGAAATATCATTAATAAGATGATGATCTGAATGATCTAATATATATATTGACCATATTATATGTTGTATAGACCATCTATGTGTGTATAAATATATAACAAGCACAATATATCTGTGAATGCATGTTTAATATTCACCCTTGTACCAAATTAGTGAAATCAACAAGAATGGAGAGAGTAAAGAAGCAATCCGAACGCCATAGTTCCGCCATTTGCGCCAAAGATGTGCCACATTAAACCTTTAATATGCACTTGACTGGTATAATCCGCGCTCAGACATCATGACGCAGAGCTAACAAGGCTAGCCTAGTAAAACACACTCCAAGAAGCCAAACCAAATCCGGCCGAAATCCGCAATGCTCAAAGATGCATGAACAAAATCAAAAGGATATAGAAAACATATAGAAAAAAAAGGGGGGAAACCCTCAGCAAACAGACGAGGTGGGCCGGACCCGACTTGGCGCAACCAATTTCTTCTTGAAATCCAAAGACCAAGCCGAACACCCCTTAATAGACCGACGATTATCGGATTGTCTCAACGGCGAACGACTCCGCCAAACAAACTGCTGAGCCTCATCAAGCAGATGTTGATCACCATTCGGCAGCGGATAGAAGCTCACATCCTTACACAAAGTGCCGAACCGCGTAGCAAGATCAAACACCCCTCGGGCCGTGAGATCCCGGCCACCCACGTTCGCAGATGGATAATAGTAGCGTGGATCGAGGTAAAGCAGCACGCTATTCCAGAGGGGAAGTTTCTCAGATAGAAGCCGTGCGGCGGCCTCGTATTGTTTCAGCGTGCGCTTCGGCACGCCGGTCTGCGTGTGCACGAAGAAGAAGACCTCGAAGCCGACGCTGCGAATGCGGGCGCGGGCAGTTGCGCTGAGCGTGTCGAGGAAGTCAGCTAGTCGGTCGAGATTGAAAGAGTTGCGCAGGAAGAGGGTGTGCGTTGAGTAGAGGTAGTCTTCAGCTTCGTCGTGGAGTTGACGGTTCACCGCTAGTAGCTTGCGTGCGGTGCCGTCTTCGCCAACCCAGTGAGGACTCATTGATAATGCTCGGTATTGGCCACGGGCTGTGAAGGTTTTGCCGCGATCGCCTAGCACGATCATCGGTTTGCTGACTAGGTACTCATTTGGCACGTCTAATGCATATTCGTAGATCTTGAGACGGAGTTCGGCCGGGAGTTGGAGGAGCCGTGATGATGATATCGACGTGTGAGAGAGATTTGACTTCATATCCGCTTCGCTAAATTCGCTAGAAGAAAGAGCAATACGTGATGAAATATCGACTTGCGAAATGCGGCTGTTAATGCCGTTTAAAAGGCAGTGGTACCACTCGGGTGTGTACGCTATAGATGTGTCGCCACCTTCAGAAAATTTTCGATCCGTCAGAAAAAGTCAATGCTGAACAAAAATAGAGGTCTGTACTCTGTACTCTGCACTCCGTAGATGACCTTGCATAACGTATATGCAAAAGGCATCAGACCATACCTATTATATGAAGTGCCGAGTATCTGACCGGCATCCTCTCGGCCTAAAGATATCGCACCGCATATACTTCACCGCATGTTGTGAAAGTTCGGGAAATGGCGAAAGCCATTACAAAGTACAACCTTAAGCTTAGTACGGAGTACTCCGTACTCTCTGGGTAATTACCCGTTCCTGGATCCTGGATCCTGGACCATGGATGTATGGTTTGCAAGTTTTTATCTTGGTTGAATGGTATGATCCTTGTTGGTGACCCACGTATTAGTGGATCTGATGTATAGAAAGGTACTCTACAGAGTACTTAGTATACTTTTCTACTTTTTTTTTTAGAACTCCGACTGGCTAGATTGGACATGAGACAAGGAGTAATGCCAAGTAATGTCGAGGACTTTCCCACACGTGCAATCTATTTAATGGCTACTCTGGAGTAACATGTACTAAAACGTGCCATAGACGCATATGCAGACTGTAGGTCTAGTACTCCGTGTAAGATGGGGTGATGCAATTGCCATTCTATAGTGGCAGTAACTATATTCGTTATAGGTGAAACAACTAAGCTATACCGTTGAGACATAATCGCATGTATCTAGCGGATCTTCTCTTCCCAAGGCTTTCTCGTCTGTTTCAAGGTTAGGCACTTAGGCAGGGTTCAAGTCACTCAAGAATACCTACATAGTCAAGTCAACAACCTCAGGTAAATCAACACTTTCAACTTCCGTCTCCCTTTGTTACTACTTGGGTTGATCAAAGACGTCACCCGAAAGGGTCAGCCAAGCTGATAATGGGCTATCAGCAGCCATCCAATTCCACTAGTTGGCTCTGTAGACATTTGATAGTGACTAAAAGACTATATCCGAAGCTAATTAATTTATCCACTCTAGCAAAGTAAAACAGCCTAGTCTCCAAAAATTCAAGATGCAATATATTCGCTATGGAAAACTGTCTGAAAATAGCTGCAACAATCAAGTTCCACATTTGATCATCGCTGTCTATACACACCTAGCGACCAAGCTGCCCGAAGAACAGCCAGACCCCAAGCCATGCCGATGCTATCTCGTAAGACATTCAATTTGCTACCCTTGACCTCCCTCCATCCCACAGGCACCTCAGCCACAGGGATCTGAGCAAACTCAGCCAGCATGAGCATCTCAACATCGAAGATCCAGCCCTCAGAATGCATGTACGGCACAATATAAGGCAACGCACTGCGAGAGAACAGCTTGAATCCGCACTGCGTATCCTTGACAGTAGCAGTTTTAGCAGGCGTCATGAGCCACAGGATCAAATGGAACGAATGCATCAAAAAGTTCCGAAGCTTGGATCGCTATCGAGCAGAGTCAGTAATCAACCCCGCAAGCATCCTATCACCCAGATATCAAAATATCATACCTTAACCACAGCCTCACTCCCAACCATATGCGCGCGCGATCCAACAGCAACCGCCCGCCCTTTCGCATCCTCCACATCCCGACAAGCCCCAACAAGCTTCCCCAGATCATCGAACTTGCTGGCTCCGTCCGCATCCGCAAAGACAACATACTGCCCACGGACATGGCGCATGCCGTGCGTGACCGCGCCGCCCTTGCCGCGGTTATGAGTCAAGTTCACGACGCGGATCGTGCCGGGTGGGATATGGACGCCCTCCGCAGCCTTCGGCGTCCACGGACCCGCGTGTCCCTTGGGGTGCAGAGAGAGCTGGTGGTCGCGCACGAACCGGAATGCGACTTCCTCCGTGCGGTCTGTCGACCCGTCCGAGACGAGGATGATCTCCCAGCCGCGGTCTGAGGCCGAGCCCGCGGCGTCGCCGGTGGTATCCCCGTTCGGCTTGCGCTTGCGCATTGAGCGTGTCTCCCTTGTGTCTGGGCTGCGGGCCCTAGCGATCGCGCTGGCTGTGTCCCCGTACATGTGCTCCAGGTAGTTGACGGCCTCTTCCAGCATGCCGGTTAACCGATCTTCCTCGTTGTAGGCTGGTACTACGACGGACATGAATAGCTCGGCTGGTGCGATTGTGTGGGTTGTGGCGGGGGTTTGAGTGCTCTTTTTGGTGTCTAGGCTTTCGAGCCAGCAGGGCAGGGGTTCCGGGTCTGTGACGGATCCATCTTTGGCGAGGGTTCTATACTTCTTTTCTTCTGGTAGGGGTTCTCGTGGGACTGGCGCAACGAAAAATATAAATAATGAGAACTATGGAATAGCAAAAATAATTGGCAGATCAGTAACTTGCAATTGAGGCTGCGTGTGTCCGGAGTGCCACCGCGCGATCTGACTGGTACAAGCCGAGTGGGGGAAATGTGGACTCACCAGGACAAATAGTCCTAGCAATGTGGCTAGGGCAGCAATGAGTAAGATCTGAACTGGGATTTCCACCGCAGTAATGACGCATTGGCGACAGATCTCGCCCCAAGCTGCCGCCATTGTGGAGAGTGACGAGCTGGACGTCAGATGCGGAGACGGAAGAGATGCGGAATGGGGAGACGGGAGTGATGCCGGAAGGGATGAGGCAAGCACTTAGGTCCGAGAGAAAAACTGTCTATTCATAGAGGTAAGGAAGAATTATCCTCGCCATTGAAGAGAGAGAGAGAGAGGGAAAGAGAGGGCAGAAGGGAGGGGAGGAATGTTGCTAGTTGATAATCGCCAGCTTGGCCTTTTATCGGCAACACGCAAGCCGATATCCAATAGATCCACATCTAGGAGCCACGGTTCCTGAGACACTATATTATATGTTTTACTATGTGATAATTATAGGTTACATATTACAATTGATTTATATATTCGGTTACAGTTCACGTATGTTGTAAATATTGTAGCTCGTTTACCTGTTTACCTGTTCATACGCGTTTACCTCATATCGCATAGATCAGTCACCTGAAATAAACATTGCCGCATACAAGAGCTGATTCTTACTCTATTAAATGTCGCTGCTCCCTCAGAGTGTTTTTCAACGGACAAAGCTAGAGGATTGTCTCCAGCAGAATATAGCAAGAGAAATTGGCTAAGGGAGAACGGGACCGCGGTGCCAGAGTACTCTTTGCTGCCCATTTTGCTATCCACAATCCATAGAAAAGGCTACTAAAAAGTAGGTAAGTAATTGAACATGGTGTTAACCTTGTATGAAGAAGAAGGAGAAGAGGAGAGCCTTAGAAGTTAGGGGACAAGGACAAGGGGGAGTATATACTATATGCGAATACTTCCCAAATAGGAAGGGACTGATGCTAAAAGTTTCGATATTTTCATTCAAATACTTTCCTTCTCTTATCGTTTTATTTCTTCTTTCTATCAATCTTCTCTCCTAGTCTGGTATCTTTTTCTATTCTAGCAACAATCCTTCGTTCAACTTGCAAGTTCAAGACAACGCACCGAGAAGCCAAGGATAGCTTCTTTAAAGAGCCCTGAATGTGCCCTTTCTGAGTAGAAGTAGTCCGCAATAGTCCGAGTCCAGAAAATGATTGAATCAGGAGTCTTGGTTTCCAACATGACAAGTCCAACCACGGTGGAATGGTGTAGCGCAATGCCTGGAAACTGATCAGCAAGGCCTGCGAAAGTTCCCAAGCATCATGGAACCGGACAGAAAGCAGCGAGGGCATCCTGGGGCAGGGAACCTTTCCAATTATCCATGGCAATAGATGCAATGCGATAATCCTTGGAGACCCCAAACGGTCTAGTCCTTGGAGAGTGGTCCTAGAGGCAGGCCTTCCAGGTTGGGTCCAGAGAGGAATCTGAGATCTGAGATCTGATATCTGTCGTGTAGTCGTGGCCGACTCAAGAATTTCCTGTTTGGTAATAACGAAAGAAAGGGACCTGCTCTCTGGCTTCGTGTACGGAAAGAGCCCAAAGGAATGATTCGCGCCCAAAAAGACTTGAGCACTCTGTTTCGAACAAAGAAAAAAAAGAAAACCCCAGGGTTCCACTAGCCTCTAAATGATCCCCGTCAAGACGCCCAGCTTACGCCATAACGGAACCCGCAGCAGAACTAGCAGTGACCTAACCGCGTTTTCAAACTTCCAGCATCTCCTGATCGGAGGAAGGTGATATCTCAGTCCCTAGTGAGTAAGGATTGCCATAGAGGCAAGCGGGGGATTCTGCGATTGGCGCGAATTCAATAGCTAGTTGGGTGGGTGTGAACCGTCGCGTCTGATCGTATGTCATCCAGCGGGTGAACTAGTATAAAACAGATGGTCAGTTTTGAATGTGCTTTTAAACATAGGGGCTAACAGACAGTTGCAATCCGTACTCCCAGCCAAAGACATCGATGGCTTCTAGGAATCACTGTCGACGGTTTTTCTGTTGATGGCATGTCGTCTTCCGTAGGAGCCCCCTCAAAAAAGCTTTCTGGGTAGTAAAGCCGGCTCCATGCTTGTCCTCTTATCAAAAAGTCCTCCGGTAGCTGGTGTGTAGTTGAGTCGTCAAGAAGCGGGAATGATTCGTCTTCGATCTTCGAAATGATCGTGTCGGGACGGAACAAAGTGTTCAAATAATTTGCAAGTAGCGACCACGGAACTAGCGGTTCTAGTCGTTGTATAGCAGCTGGGTTGAGTGTGAGACACCACACAAATGCTATAGAAATATGCACACTCGGGTACATATTTGGATCGCCAATTCCGCCTAGCATGACGATTAATGTGTGAAACGTGAGAGAGCTTGCCCGGAATGCAAGCTGGGACGAGATATCACTGTATGTAGCATGGATGGGTGCATTGGATGCATTGGATGCATTGAATGCATTAGATGCACTAGATGCCCATTTCATTGCCGCTAGGCGATCTTCTGCCGTAGGATTGCGCAACTTCAAAGTGAAATCTGTTTCTACCACTGCATTTTTACTCCCATATTGAAATATTGCAGCGATATTGCAAGATATGATTTGCACACCTTGCTGGCTGTCCCAACCTACCCGGCCAATCTCCTTGTGTAGAGTAGTAAGAAACACATTCGCCCGAGAGACGAATTCCTCAACCGGAGCTTGCATGAAAAGGGCACCGTGAGTAGTCACGAAGGAAGTAACCAACCCTTCCCTCTGGGCCGGCACATTAATGTTCATAAGAGGACTGACTAACTGAATCATGCTATCGAGAGCATTTGGGAATGCACGCATGCTGATCAATGCTTTCGTGTAGTGAAAAAGCTGCAGAAGGATATCTGGTCGAGCTAAAACAGCAAGATGATGCTGGATACGGCCATTTTCTGGACTTTGAGCTGCGTCCTGGTTATACCAATACCTCGACACCCCTGCCCAGAGTTCGCGGTCCTTTTTATCGAATTCTTCCACGGCCATTCGGTACCGTGCCAAGTCACCTAGACACTCGATCCATGTCTCTCTGAAATATGGCACACTTTCCAGCAGCAATGTTATCATTGAATACGAAAGGTAGATGAAGCCGAGCATATACTCCATCGAGCCGGGGAGTTTCTGACGCAACAGCTCTAAGAATGAGTGCACTCCATAACGCCACATGCGCGCCGGCATCGCGTACTTGTCAGCTAAGTCCCTAAGAATAGGACCAGCTGATGGGTGTTGAGAGGCGAGGAAGAAGTCATGATGTTCATAGAGTAGTGTTCTGTGTAGCGAAACGAATGTCTGCCACTGAGCCTGAGATAGTTCTGCTTTTGACTGCGCCTGTTGTCTGTCGATTTCGATGCACTTCTTTTCCACCATGACAAGTCCAGTATAAATCCCCCGCACCTCATTGATCAGTTGCTCCTCGGTGATGGTGTGCGTCTCTGGCTGCCTAAACATTTCATGTGGCTTTGCTTCCTGAGTGGCTGCCTCTGCACCCACCACCTCCACCTCCACATTTTGATTTATAATTTGCTCATTTCTCGTGTGCCGTGCTTCTCGCACTTGCGCTTGCATTTGGGTGGCGTGAGAAGCCTTCTGAATCCCAACAGAATTTTGACTGTGCACAGCAATGGGCGTTGAATGTGACCTTTGCAATTCTGGACGTGCCGCAAAGCCTTGAGCTAACTGCGATTCCTCTTCCTGTCTGGGCACACTGATCTCAATTTTTGGATCTGCGGGGCATTCATTTATACGTTGAGGCACGCCTGATTTTAGCAGCTGAGAAGCCGCTCCCGGCAACCGCCGGGGCTCCCTAGAGACCCGCAAGCCATCCCGGCGATGAGATTTGCCAACATGGCCTACACTGGCGCAAGCGGGGCTTCTCAGAGCTCGCATGGCGTGACTACTGAGTGTTTCCATAGTGCAGTCGTCTGCTAAGACGCCAGTAGACTGTGGTCGCGCACTGGATAACGGCGTGGCCGAGCACCAACCATGGGTACCCATCGATTCAGAGATAAGTTCTTCTGACAATAGCCTTTTCATAGGTCGCCTGTATGAACAGTCAAAAGATATGTAAGTAAAAGAAGCTTGGAAGATTGCAATATACCTAGATGCCACGTCGCTACGGACAACTTTGTCTGAGAGTCTTGTCTTAGCATCCAACATGCTATAAAAACCGCGCCGACTCGACTTTGCCTCCTTACGGCCCAGTGTGTTGTCGCCCATTTCAACCATCTAGGGAGGATTAGTTCATCTTTTGAGCCTTAGGAGTGGCCAACGCACCCAGTAAGAAATTAGAGAGAAGCCCAATCTCACATGTTGTCATGGAGATCGGGTAGAGTTATAGAAGAGGGGAGCCTTTAGACAATTATTAAATAGGTAGAGAAGCCTTGAAGAGCAATCAAAATCTAAAATCCCAAGACATCGGGCAACTGGGTGTTTTGGCTAGTTCGGGTGGGAGGGGGGGGGGGGGG